CCTGAGGTCAGAAGTTCGAGACCAACGTGACCAACATGGTTAAACCCCATCTCTACTAAAATACACAAATTAGCCAGGTGTGGTGGCACATACCTGCAATCCCAGCTATTTGGGAGGCTGAGGCAGGAGAATCACTTGAACCCAGGAGGTGGAGGTTGCAGTGAGCTGAGACCACACCATTGGACTCCAGGGTAACAAGAACAAAACTCCATCTCAAAGAAAAAAAAAAGCAGCAGCAGCAGTCTGGCCACATTCTGGAACAGCAGCTGTGCTGCATTGTGGGGGACAATGCCCTCCTTGCAGGGCCTAGACTCCCCAGAACCGGAAGCTAGAACTGAGTTGCCCAAACTGCTAAAATGTCAGCTACCCTTCCTCCTGGAAATTTGTCCATCTCAGGCATTCTCCAGCCTGCTGAACTGGCCAACTGGAATTCCAAGCCAGTGGCTCTTAACTTGTGAGGTGCAGGGGAAATGGGGCCTTCAGAATGACACTGCATGGCTCCCTGGATGTAAGGGAATGTAAGGATGGAACTCCCACCTTGTCAAGATTCCTAAGGCTGGAGTCTGAAAAACTCCTGGGTATCTGTGTGAGCCTCTGCGAAAGCCTGAGCAACTACTCTGCTGAGACTTTGCAGAGCTCTGTGTATTGAACCAAAGACCCTGGTAGCATGGGATTGCCTGACCCGTGGTTTGCAAAGATCTGTGGGAAAAGTGTGGTTTCCCAGGCAGGGTTGCACAATCACTCACAGCTTCCTTTGGCTGGGGATGAGGAATCCTTTGGCTCTGTCCCACCCCTGGGGTGGACCGTTGTTGCCCTACCCTACTTCTCTTCATTCTCCCTGGGTCAACTTGGTTGCCTAGTGAGTCCCAGAGCTAAAATCTGGATATTTCAGTTGAATGTGCCAAATTCACTCTCCATTTTCATTCTTCTCCATGAGATCCACAGACTGCAGTTGCTTCTAATCTGCCATCTTGGCCCCTCCCCATTTCCATTTTATAAATAATGGGAAGACAATGCCCTAAGTGAAACTCCATGTTGTTTTATCACTGTAAATAGTTTAGCTGTTACTGCTATCCATTAGTCAGAGACATTTAAAATAATTCTAACACTCTTTGATCCTTTACCTGAGAAAAGCAGTTTAATCAGGATTTTTATTTTTCCAGTGGTCACAGGCAGCTTTATTAAAATAAAGGGCCTGTGTTTATTTAAATAGAAGAATTACCAATAAAGAACCTGGAAAATTATATTTAAGAATTTTGCTAAAACTCTTCAACTATCTATATATTGATTTAGGGAATTAAGTTAATTAGGTTAGATGATACTAACTCCCAGAATGAATATTGCTATTTGGGTTAGCAGAGGAAAATCTAACTGCTGACAATGTGACACATTTCTTTTGATGCTTTGAAGCTATTCAGTAAAATAAGCAAAGCACAGTATGCATAGCATAAAGTGCTTCTTTTATTCTCCTGAGCTAACTTACTCCTATCTAGCTCATCAAATAATTAACTGGTATTAGTTTCCCTTTTTTCCATATTATCCTTTCTTCCTAAACAAGCATCATGTGAAAAGTTGTGTGGTTATTAGAATCACACTCTATTTGTGTACTTATTGTGATCTGAGATGTTAAATGATTATATGTAGTGGTCAGAGTCATGGCAGCAAATAGTTGGCAAACTCAAAAGAAATGACCAAAAAGAATAAAAGCACTATTTACAGAGCTATGGGCAAAATTAATGGAAACCAGCATGGGATGGTGAAGCATCCTTGGGTTAGCAATGGTGGGAAGCCATTAACACCATTAGGCATAAAAGAAGGTAAGGGAGGAAGCAATTCCTAGAACAGGAAGTACTGCCAGAACCTGGAGAGAGTGCTGTAGCACTGCCAGACCCTGGAGAGAATGAGAAGATGGCCAGACCTAAGGAATGCAGCCACTTATAAACCACAAACAGTAGGAAGATGACAGGGAATAAATCCTCTAACCACTTTCTTCCAGCTCCCTGAACTCCCACTGGTACCTCCTATTAGCTGAAACCAACCCAAAGCCACAAAGTCCTGATTAATGACCATGAAGGTCATCTTCCAGGAGCAAAGACAAAGCTGGAGGGGGTAGAGAATGGATCTGGCACAGATTATATGGTTATTTTGTATGTGAATCATTTGTACTAAATTTCTATGAAGATTAATTGAAAACTTTTGGGAGCAGAATAATATGCTATACAGTAAAAGAGTACCTGGAAGACAGTAAATGCTTGTAAAATGTTTGCTGAATAAACAAAACTTAGACTGGACTGTAAGCACTATACCAAACTTAGGTTTCTCAGCTCAAGTCTAGAACAGATTCTTTAAAAACTCAGCAGTTTAGGCGGTCTCTACTATATCAAGTGCATGGTGAAGGATTATCAACTAAAATGGTGGCTGGATAAATACATGAGTACATAGATACATAGATGAAAGTGTAGATAACTCATAAAATTTTATAAACATTAGGAAACTTGAGTGTAATCTCATCCAACTGCTTCATTTTCTAGGCAAAAAATGGAATTTCAAGTTGATTAAAAACACAATATTGCAGTGTTAGAAAAAAAAATCTCATGACTCTAGCCTCTTCTAACTAAATATGCTACCTCTAACTTATAGTTTATCATTTGTTTCATTCAAATAAGTTTAAGAGAACTTTTGTATAAGATTGTGACTATAGTTAATAACAACATATGTTCTTTTGAACTGTCCAGAAAATAGATTTTCAGTGTTCTCACCACAAAAAAAAAGATAATTATGTGAGGTAATACATGTTAACTTGATTTAGCCATTCCACAATGTATATGTAATTTAAAGCATCATGTCATATATGATAAATATAGAAAATTATGTCAGTTAAAATGTTTTAAAAATTGTTCCATTCAAATCAACATCAATTAAGGACGATGATGATGATGATGAGAGAGAAAGGAAAAGCACAAGTTTTAGCTCCCTTAGCATGACCCATGACTTGTGAAACATGCTTGCCTTACCATTGAAAGAATGCTGAGTAGTCTGCTTGTTTCTGTGTAACATAGTGTACAATGAACTTGCATCCACAGAAAGTATTTGAGAATGTAGCTCTCCAGAAGTAATAGCACTTTAAAAGTTATCATTAATCAATCTAAATATATATAATATATATAATTATCATTATTCAACTAAATCTTCATCTTACTTTTTATGAAAGTACAACAAAAATAAACTTAACCAATGCCAAATGTAAAAATAAATTTCTTTATCATTTCCCCAAATATAATTACCATCTCCCATTTTAGAAAGATTTAATAAATTCTGATTGATGGGTCAGACATAGTGGCTCACACCTGTAATCCCAGCACTCAGGGAGGCCAAGGCTGGTGGATCACTTGAGGTCAGGAGTTTGAGACCAGCCTGGCCAACGTGGTATCTGATAAAAATACAAAAATTAGCCGGCTGTGGTTGTGCAGGCCTGTAATCCCAACTACTTGGGAGCTGAAGGAAAAGAATCGCTTGAACCTGGGAGGCGAAGGCTGCAGTGAGTCGAGATGGGGCCATTACACTCCAGCCTGGGCAACAGAGTGAAACTCCATCACAGAAAAAAAACAAAAAATCTGACTGATTAAACACAAATTATTAATTTCTGACTTGAATTAATGTTAATGTTTTAGGTCCATACTCACATTCAAAAATTTGGATGCAAACATTGTTTAGTAGGATTACTTTTTTTCTTTCCCTTCAGTGTCTTAGATGCAAGGCATAAAACTGACTTTCATGACTTGAAATATATTATCTGTATATTTTTAAATTTTGCTTTTGAAGCCAGGAGCTATATTTGGAAATACCACCTACATTTATTTTTTAAGTGTACTGAAGAATAACACTTTTGAAACCTGTAATCCATATTTAAATGAAAGGCCATGTAACCAACCTTTGAAGTCCAAAAGTGTCAATTCACTAAAATGCAGAGTTACTTTGTTACAGATCAGAAGTGTGGGGGGTTGGAGGCAGGATGCAAATCCTTCCCAGACTGATGTGGCTTTTCACCACACAGTGGCGCTTCTTCTCTCTAGCCTAAATAGGAATGGGGCAATTCTGAGTCCTGTGGCGAGCACAGCAGAATCTCCAGGTGAGTGTCCGTTTAGTGGGCCTGGTCCGGGGAGTTTGGCTAGGAATATATACTGGGACTCCGGGAGCCACTGTCCACCTCCCAGCTTCCCAGCACTGGTGGCTTGTTAACTCCCGCGCGTCCGGGGTTTCCCCTGGCAGAGGACTAGACCTCCACTCTGTCCCCACCACCCTGTAGCAGGGATAGCGGGGGAGGGGAAGTTGGCTGTTAGGCAGAGGACAGCAACCCATTAGACACAATTTCGCGCCTTTTTTGTGTGTATATTTTCACTCTCAACGTTAGTTGTGATCATAAACTTGATAAACTTGAACCAGGAATTTGTCTGCACAATTACCTGTAATGGGTGTCTATAATGAAAGGACTTTAAGAATCAATTAGCATGAGGTGGAAGTTCATGAACCCAAATGCCCAATATAACACCAAATACACTAGTTTAGTATAAAGATACCATCTTCTGTTCTTTAACATATCAATTGGCAAGGCAAAGAGAAAGAGGTGTCTGTCTTGGATCTCTGCCAGAGACTTCTCAGCAGGCTTCCTTCCTCTCAGAGAGCGGCTTTGGAAGGGGAGTGGGCTGGGAGGAGGCAGGGGAGGCCGAGAAGCACAAATTCGTGACTCCCCAGCGTGTGTGTGCTCGCGCCTTTCTGCGCTAACTCCAGGGGCCCAAGTTCGGTCCGGACGGAGGAGCGCGGGGCGAGAAGGGCCCGGCAATTAACCTCCCCAGCGGGTGTAGCCGTCCCGAAACCGCGGAGCCTGACAGTTGGGCTGTTCATCCCCAGGGGGCGACCAGCTTGCGAAGCGGGAACTCGAGGAGGGACCAAGGGACGCGGGATGACGGCTACTCTGCCGCGCTTCGCCCTCACCTCCTTACCTCCAGGTAGTACAAGTCCACGGTAGTGATCTGCGAGTCCAGGAAGTCTTCATAGGTGTTGAACTGAGTGACGATATTGTCCATGGCCTTCAGCCCCTCTTCCTGATCCATGGCGGTAGCCTCGGCAGAAGCGTCCTTAGCAACGGAAGTAGGAGGGCAGGGTCAGGAAGCTCCACCCACTTCGTTCCTGCCAATCAGTTAAGGCCGTGGTGAGCTCTGCACGTTAATCCCACCCCCTGTTTGTTGCGGAGTTTCTGGCTTCTGCTTCACTCCTGGGAAAACTGTCTTGAATTAACCCCACTCCATGTTCAGGTCCGGTACCCATCCACCTACTCAGGCTTAGTTGAACTGTGGAGCAACCAGAGAGGTGCAAACTGCAATCCAAAGTTAAAAAGTATGACACTGCCGAGATAGTTAGAAAAAACATTAGGAATCAGCTCCCAATTGCATCCTTTTTTTTTTTTTTTTTTTTGAGACGGAGTTTCGCTCTTGTTACCCAGGCTAGAGTGCAATGGTGCGATCCTGGCTCACCGCAACCTCCGCCTCCTGGGTTCAGGCAATTCTCCTGCCTCAGCCTCCCGAGTAGCCGGGATTACAAGCATGCGCCACCACGCCCAGCTAATTTTTTGTATTTTTAGAGACGGGGTTTCACCATGTTGACTGGGATGGTCTCGATCTCTTGACCTCGTGATCCACCCGCCTTGGCCTCCCAAAGTGCTGGGATTACAGGCTTGAGCCACCGTGCCCGGCCCAATTGCATTCTAAAATAATGTTATGCAAGACAAAAATATGAAGATATTTGGCAAAAGGAGTATCTCAAAAACAAGTCTATCAAAATTATGTGGCAAGGACAACAATAAAATGATTTTGTTAAATTATTTTTAAAGTTATAATAAAGGTAAATTATTGCTAATGTTTGTGTACAAGAAGCAACTTATGAAATTCCCAAAGGAAAAAAACTCAATTAAAAAAAAATGTCTTTGCAGAACTTTTTTGGCACCAAGTTATTGCTTTCATGTGTTTTACTATTTTAGCACACTGAAAAATTTTGCTGTGTTGAAGCTGCCCTTTTTAGGATAAAATATATATCTGTGACAACTTATTAAATAAAGGCTTTTACTAAAGATTTTTGGTTTTCTTCAGAACAGTATTGTGTTTTTAAAATATGAATTTAAAGTAATCCAACATAGCAGCTGGCAAAATATGTTGAGAACCAATTTTTGGATTTTAATATTTTACAAACCATTCTTGAGAATTAACATATAATACAATGCTAAGCCTTTAATTGTTGCTCTCTAAGTACATTTTTAATACGTCTTGAAGATTTTCACAGATGGACTAACAAAATTTTAATGAAAACATCTGGTAAGATACTTCACTTTCAGTTAGCTTTCCTAATTTAAAAAGGTCATCACAAAAATTATGATATCATGAATTGCAAAGTTTAAGTGATATAGACACAATCTTTAGGGTATTACTAACTTGTTTTTTGTTCAATAAATGTATTCTGACATGTTTTAAAAGCTATTTTGGGCCTTATTTTTTAACGCAATTTAATCACTCAATTTGGGAAAACAAAAAGGAGAAAAAAACCTCAGACACTGGTAACCCATCAAAAGTAATAATAGGCCAGGCGCAGTGGCTCACGCCTGTAATCCCAGCACTTGGGAGGCCGAGGTGCGTGGATCGTGAAGTCAGGAGTTCAAGACCAGCCTAGCCAACATGGTGAAACCTCATCTTTACTAAAATCACAAAAATTGCCCAGGTGTGGTGGCAGGCGCCTGTAATCCCAGTTACTCAGGAGGCTGAAGCAGAGAATTGCTTGAACCCAGGAGGTGGAAGTTGCAGTAAGCTGAGATCACGCCACTGTACTCCAGGGTGACAGAATGAGACTTCGTCTCAAAAAAAAAGAGTAGTAACAGTAACAACTTTTATTGAATGCACCCTGCATGCCAGCCACTGTATTGAGTGCCAAAAGTAGATTACCCTTAGTGTATTAAAATTAACAACCATCAACAATTTGGCATCATCTAATATTTTTAAAGATAGTGAAATTCAAGGAGCCCAAGGATAGAGACAAAATGCATATGACTAAAACATGTTAATTAATAAGGGATATAGGTCTCAGTATTCTCTGTTGTCTAGAGAGTTCTCTGAGTTCTTCCTGAAAGAGGCATTATGCTGGATGAACTGAGCACAAAAGAGGCATTATTCTGGATGAACTTAGAAAAGATTCAGTCTCTTTGTACAAAGAATATAAGTGTTTGCTTTAGTGCACTAATAATAACAGTGAGAACTTACCATGTGCCTGCACTCATTCTAAATGCTTTACATACATTATCTTGTTTGCTCATGACAACGAACTCACTACCTAGCATTGGTCCTATTCTCAATATAGATACAGAATGAATTTAAATGACTTGGCCAAAATTCCAAAAATAATAACACAATGTATTACTTTGGATTTCATCTATAAATATAGTAGAGGTAAAGAGAGCTACATGAACTCATTATTTTGAAGAGCCACATGGAACTAATTATTAACTTTATTTGTTATTTAGGAAAAAAAAAAAAAAAGCCAAGCATTGTGGTTCACATCTGTAATCCCAACACTTTGAAAGGCCAAAGCAGGAGGATTGTATGAGGCCAGGAGTTCAAGACCAGCCTGAGCAACCTGTCTCTACAAAAATGAATAGTGATACCCTGTCTCTACAAAAATTTTTAAAAAGTAAATTAAACAGGCACAATGACATGTGCCTGCAATTCTAGATACTCAAGAGGCTGAGGTGGGAGAATTGCTTGAGCCCAAGAGTTTCAGGTTATAGTGAGCTATGATCACACCACTGCATTCCAGCTTGGGCGACAAAGCAAGACCCTGTCTCTAAAAAGTCAAGAGGAAAAAAAGATAATTTAACTTGTGATAGGGAACATGAGTTGGCACACACAAAAAAAGAAGCAAAAGGGATGGCATATTCCAAGATAGGGAGGCAAGAAAAATCAATTCTATGTAGGAAAAAGCAGCAAATTGTTTTGACAGTTGTGAGGAACCTAGTAAGGAAAGCAGAGGGAAGGGAGCTCACTAGATAGAGGCAGTAGACTGGTAGGAAAACTTTGAATTCTAGGTTGAAGAGTCTGCAAAAAGTGGCACCCATATCTTTGAACAAGAGGGGGATACAATGAAAATGGTTTCGGGAGGTGCCCATGCATCACTGAATACGACTGAAGTCTCCAGAGTGCTTATATGTGTTACATTTGTTTTAAAGTCTGCCTATATCAAGATTTCATTACTTTTAAGAAATAGTAAAGCATCTAAGAAATGTCTGGGTTCATTAAACTATAGCCCTTTAATGAAGAGGACCTATATATTAGTAAAATGTGAGGTCATGGTTTGCCATGACTAATCATAATATTGTTCATAATTTTGATCATAATTCTGATAAAAAATTGGTTGTAATATTGTTCTCTTATCAATTATGATTATGCATTTTTTAGGGAAACCTCATTAAATTTACCACTTGGTCAACCTCTCTTTGATGAAGTAATCTCTACAGCATCTAAATTTAAACAATCATGAAATTATTTTCAGTCAATGAGTCTAGAAATGTCTTCCAATTCAAAACACTGAGGCTGTTTTCAACATATTAACTTCTCTATTAATATCGAGAAAATTCATAAATTTATCCTTGTTCCTTGCATTAAGGCGAGAATTAATAATAAACATAACTCAATTGTCTTTTTCCAAACTTTCAATTTAAGTTCAAAACCACTTTCAGACCTGTGCCTGAGAAATTACGTGAAAGGGTGGCAACAACGAAATTAATAAGTTTCAGCAAGCTTCTTTTTTCATTGCAAGGCCTTTGTTATGACCAAGAAATACTTTATTTTGGATAACATGAATTCCTACTTCAAGTCCAGGATTTTTAAAGACTGAAACCTGGAATTTAGCACCAATCCCAGAAATTCCGTTCTTTGCAAAAGGACAAACAAGGATTATGTATATTCATAACAAATCTCTCTCTTACAAAAGATGTGAGGGAGAAGAAACATATGTTATGTAAGAATAACAAAATATATGCCAGATGTAAGGTACATACTTGGTGGAAGAGTTTCAAATTAAGTTCTACACTTTTCTATTCCAAAATATTTGGCAATATATTATGATAGCTGAGAAAGTGAAAGAAAAACATACTTTGGTTTGCTGACACGGTAGGAAGGGTAATGTTTTGCTTGTTATGTTAATAAGAACTTGAGGCTCTATTAAGATGTTCTATTCATATGTTATATCATAGGGGGAAAAAAAACATAGGCTTACTCTAATAGGACAAGAGATTTGTGTCTGATGTTGCCCAACTGCTTATTCAGTATCTGCAACTGCAGGTGAGGGATATTGCTTAATCATCAGCCAAGGAGAGCTGTTTTGCACTAAATTTGTGCAATTTTGTGTTAATAATGTTGACACTAAATTTACTTGAGCTATTTCTTGTGATGATGTCACTGGATTTCCACACAGTCTCAGTTACTCTAAGATGCTGGAGTTCTGATTCCACTGCTTCTCTGTCCTGGAGACGCAATGTGTTCATGGTCATAATCCAGGAGTTTGCTCCTTCCTTCTCACTGACAGTGTGAAAGGAAAATTCCAGAAGAGAGAGAAATACAAGTATAAGATGGAATTCCTCCCAGGACTGTGGTGACCGCTGTCTGGAGATGATAAAGATTGAAAACTACTACTGTGCTATGGGGTAGATGATGAGGGTATGATCACCACAGCCACCACTTTGGAACAGAGAAAAACTTGGGCTTTCTGTGGCTCTACAAGGCATTACCAACAACTTCACTGAAAATTCCCTCAAATTTTTGGCTACATGGAAATCAGACTGTACCCTAAAACTCCACTCCCCCTGAGTGGGCCATCAGACTACAGCATATGTGAATAGATGGCCACCACAATAACTGTGAAGCTGCCAGTTGCAAGCAGGTGCTCAACATTGCCCTACAATCTATGTTTTCTTTTTCTTCAATTCACTCTTATTTTCTACAATGGCTTTTCCACTTTCTCCTCTCTCCTCAATCTTATATCCTCCTTTCTCAAAGCAGATAAACTTAACTCCTATTCCCAAAGGCAGTAAGTTAACACAATAGATTTCCCGCAGTCAAATG